CTGGAATGCCAGTACTGCACTACCGCCGTCAAACAGCTGGAATACCAGTACTGCACTACCACCGTCAAACAGCTGGAATACCAGTACTGCACTACCGCCGTCAAACAGCTGGAATATCAGTACTGCACTACCGCCGTCAAATAGCTGGAATACCAGTACTGCACTACCACCGTCAAATAGCTGGAATATCAGTACTGCACTACCGCCGTCAAACAGCTGGAATACCAGTACTGCACTACCGCCGTCAAATAGCTGGAATACCAGTACTGCACTACCACCGTCAAACAGCTGGAATACATGTACTGCACTACCACCGTCAAACAGCTGGAATACCGGTACTGCACTACCGCCGTCAAATAGCTGGAATATCAGTACTGCACTACCACCGTCAAACAGCTGGAATACCTGTACTGCACTACCGCCGTCAAATAGCTGGAATACATGTACTGCACTACCACCGTCAAATAGCTGAAATATCAGTACTGCACTACCGCCGTCAAACAGCTGGAATATCAGTACTGCACTACCGCCGTCAAACAGCTGGAATACCAGAACTGCACTACCGCCGTCAAATAGCTGGAATACCAGTACTGCACTACCACCGTCAAATAGCTGGAATATCAGTACTGCACTACCACCGTCAAACAGCTGGAATATCAGTACTGCACTACCGCCGTCAAACAGCTGGAATACCAGTACCGCACTACGACCCTCAAATAGCTGGAATACCAGTACTGCACTACCGCCGTCAAACAGCTGGAATATCAGTACTGCACTACCGCCGTCAAACAGCTGGAATACCAGTACTGCACTACCACCGTCAAATAGCTGGAATACCAGTACTGCACTACCACCGTCAAGCAGCTGGAATACCAGTACTGCACTACCACCGTCAAATAGCTGGAATACCAGTACTGCACTACCACCGTCAAGCAGCTGGAATACCAGTACTGCACTACCGCCGTCAAAAAGCTGGAATACCAGTACTGCACTACCACCGTCAAACAGCTGGAATACCAGTACTGCACTACCGCCGTAACAGCTGGAATACCAGTACTGCACTACCGCCGTAACAGCTGGAATATTGCTGATTGAGGCGTTCAATACCAGATAAAGAAACTGTATGAATTGAGTGAGTGGATGGGTGGCTGAATGAGTGAGTGAATAGAGTTTTAAGCTGTTCGTGACAATATTTCAGTTTTACAAGGGCGTGTCAGCCAAAGGTAAGGCAGGTCGGGGGTGATTACAACTTTGGGGTATACGGTGCCAACAGAGAAGACCAATAATCAGCGATCTGAGATTCCACCACTTACACGTAAAAATCAGTATGTCGTGTTTAGCACCTTGAAACAGCCTTCGTCCTTTTAGTTCAGTCAACACCAATATCTTCAACCCTATATAGTACAATACAATATTGTCAGTGTTTTGTTGGATGGTGCCGCGATTGGTAGCCCATCACGTGGAGCGGTATACTACCATTAAGGCGTGGCATAATGCTCATGATATCAACCACAAATATGTCTGGATACACACCTCAGCGGAATAACACATTAGCCATCGAGGGTCGGTCGGGTAGCCTAGTGGTTTAAGCGTTCGCTCGTCACGCCGAAGACCCGGGTTCGAGGTACAATGTGTTAAGCGGCGTAAAACCATACTCACTCATTAGCCATCGAATATCAAGATTGAAGAAGAAACTTTGAAGATACACAAACTGTGAGGACATGAAATATATCGGAAAAGTCAGATCGGATAGTTCATGGACAAAATACACAAGTATTTGCATATTTCTTCGGTTTCTACGCTATTATCTTATGCTAAAATACAGCTCCCCGGCCTTCCTCGTAGGCATCAGACATCCCATACAATAATTATATGACTTGCCCAACAGATGTCTTGTTTGTAATACCTTAAACCATTACAATGACGCCATGCTATTGTTCTGAGCCCGGAATCCACTGGTCTTTCTGACGCAACTATGTCATTATGCAAATTTATATTAGAATATTTTTTACATCAACTGTTTTTGGGTCAATGGTAAAGCGGAGACTAGTTCTACGTTTACAAAGGGGGGTTTAATCGAGGAAGCCAACAACTGGTCACGAAGAATACCTTCTAACTGCAGTGTACAAACGACTCGGTCAGCGAAACCCTTTGAACGCTGTCTGCTTGGGGTGGGGAGGCAACTGTGTTGAAGAAGTGATTTTAAGGCTACGTCCAGTTCACCCTAAGGCGCTTTCCAGTTACTTTGGCCCGTGGATTTGCGACACGGCGCTTCGGAAATGTGTATTAAAACTTGACGAAGATTCTGAAGTCTATTCATCGAGTCTGTTGACAAGATTCTGTTGACCTCCTCAAATTAGATTAATCAATTGTCGACAATCGCATCTTTCCGTAATCTACACGAAGGGGCGCCATACGGATTTGTCCCGTAATTACACGAGTTGGTCAAGATGGTTGACTGGTATGGAAAGAGACGAGACTTTTTTAAAACTTCATTCTGACAAACATCACAAGCAGCACCTCACTTTTAATGATTTTTTATTCCAACCCTCCAACACCGTGATTAAGGTATCGGTCTAAAACAAAATAATGATTTTCCAATATTATTCAAATTTTATGTTGATAACCGACCGATAATTTTGAATATATTTTCGAAAATTCAAGACGTCAGCGCTAAAGAATAGTCAGTCTCAAATATCTGCCGAATACATGGCACAGTAGGAGCGAGCGAGCGAGTATGGTTTTACGCCGCTTTTAGCAATATTCCAGCAATATCACGGCGGGGGACACCAGACATGGGCTACACACATCGAACCAGGGTCTTCGACGCTTTAACCACTAGCCTACCCGACCGCCCTGGCACAGTAGGAAAGACAAAATGATGAACTTGATACGATAGAATTACTGAAAATCAGTGCTAACATCAGGTGTTCGCGAAAAGGGTTATGTCCTACTCTACCGGTGGCACCGGCATTGGCGGTGTCACATAAGAGGCTTTTGGATGTGTGAGAGGGTTATTTCTGAGAAACCTCAACGATGACCATTGCAAGCTACCTGTAACCGGATCATACAACTAGTGCATGGCGCTCACTCAAGCACAGTGTAACCGCCAGACGTTTCACCCTGTGAGGAACATTAATTTAACTCCGAGCTGTGAAAGAACAGACTCAAAATGAAACACACAAGGTTACATAAAAAATGGAGGTATATTGTTTTCTTGTGGGAGAAGCTATTCTGGTAGTCGCGCCTGCCTCGCTTCGAGCAGTTATTTGAAGTATTCCTCGATATGGTTACAAGCGCTAGAAACATTTATGAAATATTCTGCGGGTTAGGGTGAACCTAGGTCACTGTGGTTCATTCAGTCACTAGGTTATAAGCAGGATCACCTCAAGACCTGGAGTGGATCATATTTAACGAATTGAGCACTACGAAATTCCTTAAAATAGATTTTGTTTCTATTTTATTGATGAAATATGTGGTAATAATCCTTTTTTCAAATTCCAAAGCAACAGATGATGGAATATTTTACCGTTGTACCAGGCATTAATATTGGAGAGTTGCACTTTGGCATATGTCGGAATGCTAAAAGCTGATCATGGAATTCTAAAACAGAAATATAATACTCGCCTCGCAATATATTGATATTTTCAAACAAAGAAGCATCCATATCACATGACTGCAGAAAATACAGCAGAGGGTGGTCTGAGTGAGTGAGGGTTGTTGACGTCACACGTAACGCCACATTTACGGTCATTCAACGTGCTTCACACCTTCTACTCGTGTGGGACAACGGTCAACGATAACAGTTCCCACATATGACACTTTGCTACACGTATGACAGTATGTGTGGATGGCGGGTGGGAGGAGGTGTGTGTTCTGGCGCTGACGTTCAGATAGCAAATAGACATCCTGAAACAGGCTCTCCAGTCAGAAGGAAATAATTTGAGAAGTTCTGACTGTTTTTGCTTGAAGAACTGGCGCTTCAATCTTCTAAAATGCCTTTTTAAAATTAACATTTCGAAAAATACTCATCTAATTCCGATGCACTGTGTTTGTTCAGCTCGACTGGAGTGTGTTCGGAAAGACCTCGGGGTAAATTACTGCATCATTGTTTTATTAACGTTGCATTAATTTAGCTTTGCTGATAATGTTGGACCACACTCTCATGAAACCCGCTTTCCAAATGCTGAACATACTTCTGTAAGATCGTAAGCGTCATTTTAAAGCTTTCAAATTAACGCGTTTATCTTTGCTTCAAATGATTGAATAGCTCAAACACAACCGTATTTTATCTTAATGCAAATGGTAAAACGAATTTGGCAAAACAGTCAGCTCTGGAAAGCATAGGGAATTTCAGTAATAATGACTTTAACGATTGATAATAAACTCATCTTTTAAATATGTATAAGGAGTGGCACCATTATGGCGTTGCAATGGAATTGGCAAAATGGTGAAGCAGTTCTTGTAAATGATGCATAGAACATCACGATGTGTTAGTAAATGAGACGTGACTCTCAGTATATCCAGGTGTCATCGGGCAAAAAGACAGGTGAGATATATCAATCTGAGCAAGGATCTGGTACTTGTTGACATATGTTTAATACAGGTCGGCTCTAGGTTAGCCAGAGAGGCAATTATCGTTATAGCTGAAGAGGAAGATCTATATATAAAATAACCTTAAGACACCTGGTAAACGTGTAAGCGATTACTCTAGGTACTTCTTTCACGGAAAGTGTTGGGTTTGGAGTGCTTGGTTGGGTAAGGTTGAAAGTATGGTAATGATACGAATAAAATATTGTATATTGACAAAAACATGTACATGATGCTTAAAGAATATATAACAAAAATTGACAATAAATGAACGGAAAAGGATGCATAAACAGGATTTGAGCCCCAAAACTCAAGTTGATGAAAACTGATTGATGAAAACATCCCACCGATACACAAATGGCAATAACTAAATGAAAATAAATAAAATGCACGTGCATGTGCGTACATACTGCATGTGTGACAACAACGGTGCGTTCACGAGACGTGTTCACAGACTACATGATCATCTCACATGGTGTAACAGCCATGTCGTCTGCTTCTCCACCGGATATCGTCTGCTACTCCAACTGTCGTCTGCTGCAATCCAGTAAGTCCAGCCTCGTGTGCGATCAAGGCTCTGACTCGCCGCTCGCCGCTTCCACTATCGACTGTGCTCCAACATACCTCCTCACACTCTGCCGGTTCAACTGGGCTACAACGAGATACCTTCACACCGGTCTAGGCTCCGCACAGGGAGGTTAGTCGCTAAGGAGGAAGCGCTTTCGGCGGCCACAAAGCAAACAATCGTTTCGATGAGGTGCAAAGACGACAATCTAGTTTGTAAATAAGTAGTGTTACCTCATGCTACACAATCGGTCGACGAGCGGGATTATCCGGGTCAATGTTTGCTTGAATCAGTCGACCAAGCAGTGAGGGTAATGGAAAAAACTAATCAAATCCGTCAGGACATTTGGGCATAGGCTTTCCTATTGGCAATCGATATGAACATACGCATTTCTCATAAAAGTTCGCCTTAATTAAAACCTTAGACTTGCACAAGTCCCTAAGGCTATAATTAGTTTAAATCATGTTCTAGATTATGTAAATAATAAGAACAAGTTGTCCCTATAAGAGATTGGCGTCCTTAGAACTGTCCACATATCTAGACTTGCCTATTAGGAGCCTAGAATTACTACACATCCATGGATTTTTCTTTCAGTAGAGCCTTGGAGCAAGGCTATTAAAACCTTAATGGAGTCACATGTGACACGACCTATTTCATCGATCATAACTTTCATGCGTTCATCATTGTGAAGCGTTGTTTGTTCATATGAAACTTATTTAGCAAGGCTGTTAACAAGGATGGTTTAAGTGACACATTGTTGTGTCCGGGAACAGTAATGGGTTAGCAGTGTTCAAGAGTGTCAAACAATACCCAACTCCCGCTCGCCAAAATATTTGTATTGCAACCCTTTGAAGATTGTCAGATAGATACCAGCATGACGTCAATGGTTGGAATGTGACGTCATAGCTGGGTTAAATCGTTTCCCGTGTGTACAGGTATAGAACCTTCGCAGCAGATTAATTTTCGGTTATTGTTTCCAAAACTTGTTTCACCGAAAAAATATGTTTTGTTTGTATCTTAACGCCGCACTCAGTAATATTCCAGCTATATGGCGACGGTCTGTAAATAATCGAGTCTGGATTACACAATCCAGTGATTGACACCATGAGCATCGATCCACGCAATTGGGATATGATGACATGCATCAACCAAGTCTGACCTCCCGATCACGTTAGTCGCCTCTTACGACAAGCATAGTCGTCTTTTACTGCAAGGATGGGTTGCTGAAGACCTATTCTACCCCGGATCTTGACGATCAGGTTATAAGCAAAACTATGTGGCATTAAGTACCTACCTTTGATGAATGGTTCAAATCAATATGTTTTAAATAATTCGCTCGTGTGCCACCGGTGGTAGTCTTTGAGGTGAGGTGCAATGGGGTTTAACGTCGCGTCCAAGATTATTGCACTTATATAGCGACGTGCATGCATGTATGTGTGTGTGTGGCTGCTTGTACTAGTCCGGAGTGATGCCGATTTATAGTGTTAGCACACTGAGATACCATGCCGCAGTTTAACATGAATACCCCACTCAGACACAGTATACTGACTCCGAGCCGACCAGTCCTTGTTTTAGCCCCTTAATGCCGAGCGCCAGACAGGGTAACAACAAGTACCATCTTTTAACGTCTTTTGGTATGACGCGGCTGGGGATCGAACCCCGGACTTTCCGCTCTCCGGGCGGACGTTCTACCACAAGACCACGGAGGCGGTCTGGTAGTCTTGGAGGATAAAATGAAGTGAAGTAAAGTGAAGGGGCCCTACCCTGACAAACCAAGTATTGTATTTGATGTAAGAAGATCAGACTCGAACCTACTCCTTGCAGACGCTGCCAACTATGACAAGCATTGGTTACTGAAGCCCTATTCTACCCCGGATCTTTATGGGTCCAAGTTTCCGTTTCAAGGATCACGGTTGAGGGGAAGACCGGAGGGAGTACATGTAATGCACGTGCCGATACTTACGCAGCGGGAAGAGTTTTTAAGATCTGGACCCCAGATAAACTAGTGGTTGATAGTGTGAGCATCAGTTCAGGTAATCACTATGAGATAAAACCTTCCCCCACTAGAGAGATATCAGCACTACGACTTAATCAACACAATATATTACAGTAAACTACGGTTATAACGAACACGCTTATAACGAACTTACGGATATAACGAACTTACTTTTTTGGTCCCGACTATTTGCTGTAGTTATGCTGTATATATGCTTATAACGAACTACGGTTATAACGAACTAAAATTAGTTGTCCCTTTGAGTTTGTTATAACCGTACTTTACTGTAGCTTGTTTTTTTACGATAGATTTATATGAAAAGCGTCAGTGGAGTTTAAGCCTGCTTTGTCGTTGCAATATGTCTGAAGGATTGTCCTTGTGACCTTAAATTAGAACTCACTCGCTCAATTTTAGACTCGCTTTGAGCTGTTCCAGTAATATCACATCTCAATCCTAAATCTACGCAAGATAATGCTGCTAGCAAATTAAGGAGCGTTATTGTGTGAGTTGGGTTTAACGCCGCTTTTAACAGTATTCCAGTTATATCATTGCGTGTCAGCTTAATGTGGGAGGAAAGCCGGAAGTGATGCAGGTCTCAGACGTTTAACACTTCGGTGAAACCCACGAGCACGGGTATGGTGCTGACAAACCTAGAAACATAATCGGGGCGAACCAGGATTCGAACCCAAAATCATAGGTTTCTGACGTGCCCAAGGGACGCAACTCTGCACAACGAATCGCAGCGCCTTAGACGACAGGGCTACCCGTGGCCCCGGATCGTAATTGAACCCAAAAACAAACGGAGCTGACATATAAGGCACTCAACGAAATGTATGCCTGACACCTCTGAACTCTTTAACCCAGTTCAAAAGAATACAGTGAGTGAGTGAGTTGGGTTTAACGCCGCTTTTAACAGTATTCCAGTTATATCACGGCGTGTCAGCTTAATGTGAGAGGAAAGCCCGAAGTGATGCAGGTCTCAGACGTTTACCACTTCGGCGAAACCCACGAGCACAAAATAAAACAGCACATCTGGACCAGTATATACTTTTCACATAATACCGCCATTGTGACCAACTAATCACCATCCTTCCGTCTCCCACTACAACCGTGCCGCCTCCGTGGTCTTGTGGTAGAGCGTCCGCCCAGAGAGCGGAAGGTCCGGGGTTCGATCCCCGGCCACGTCATACCAAAAGACGTTAAAAGATGGTACTTGTTGTTACCCTGTCTGACGCTCGGCATTAAGGGGCTAAAACAAGGACTGGTCGGCTCGGAGTCAGTATACTGTGTCTGAGTGGGGTATTCATGTTAAACTGCGGCATGGTATCTCAGTGAGCTAGCACTATAAATCGGCATCAGTCCTGACTAGTACAAGCAGCCACACACACACATACACATGCATGCACGTCGCTATATAAGTGCAATAATCTTGGACGCGACGTTAAACCCAATTTCACCTCACCCCACTACAACCGTGGTTAACATGGATCTACCCCACGTCCACGACCCGGGGGTGACGCCGTGATGTATAATACCACATTGCGTCACATAGGATGTCAAATCTCGTACCTTCGCTGCAATTTCTGACAACTCTGTGAAAGAGCCATGGAAACGCAAGCCAAACGCTTGTCATCTCGAGGCATCGCAGGGATTCAATTCGAACCAAAACACAGCTCATCGATCAAGTTGTTTTCAGTAAAAGCTACCCGAGTTAAAAAAGCAGTCCGAGACAGCGACAGCCTGCACCCGCAGTTGTGATATTGTTGAGATCCGCTCCACTGAAACAGGTGTTGGAGAGCGTGATGAGTGGAGGGCTCGCTCTAATGTACACGTTCACTGAATCAGCCGTAGTGGTGATGTCGGAACAGAAACACGTGGGAAAGTGAGGGGGACATTTGGGGAGTTGGGGGGAGAGAGGGGAGGAGGAATGTAACCTGAGACGGATGAGTGTTTGATAGGTGTGATGTAATTAAGGTCTGGATCTGGTTTAGTTATACAAGGGCGGTGAGGATTGATTGATTGATTGATTTGTTTGTTTGTTTGTTGATTGATTTAGTTATATTAGTTGTGAGTGAGTATAGTGTTACTCCGCTTTTAGTAATATTCCAGCAATATCACAATCGCATTCAAATCAGATCTAAGTTCTCGCTAGCGATAGCGAGAACTAAGATCTGATTTAATTAGATTAGCAATATCACGGCGGGGGACACCAGAAACTGGCTTTACACAATATTAGTTTACTTATTAATACAGGGGCGGAAAAGAGGACGAGTTGGTAGTTGAGTGAGTGAGTGAGTGAGTGAGTGAGTGACTGAATGATAGAGAATGGTAGAGGATAGGAATGGTCTTCACCAAATAAATGCATACTTACGTTGATAATGTCACTTGGGTCAAGGTCAGGGTCAGCAAGTCGTACAGGCGAGTATAGATGTTGGATTGAGATTAAGAGCAGAACGGGTCAGTCGGAATTAGGGTGGCCTTATTGAGAAGTATTTTATACAAAAACAATTTAATTTGACATTTTTGTGAAATGTGAAAGTTGATATTTTATAGGTATTCCATTATTTTTGTTTGGAGTTGAGCTGACATGTACGGGTCATTGATGACAATACCCGCGAAGAATAGGTCTTCAGGAACCCATGGTTACCATAAAAATCGATGTAAAAACCATTGTATCGATGCTCACGATGTCAATCACTGGATTGTCCGATCCAGACTCGATTGTTTAGCGACCGCCGTCATATAGCTGGAATATTTCTGAGTGCGGCGTTAAACAACAAACAAACAAACAAAATGTATCAACTGTCTTGCTCATGTATTGACACAATTTATGGTTTTATTTTTTAAGAACGGTGACGCGGCAGTTATAAAAAATGAAGAGAGGAAGATTTTTGCGATTAAAAATACGAGTAGCAGACTGAACAGAGCGCACTGTAAGTGATAACATTGCAAAACTGAGATTGGCGTGGGAGACATATTAAATAATAAAAAAATTATGTATATATATGCGCCGATACATCTAGGGTTTCGGCAATATTTCAGTCACATCACAGCAGGGTAAACAAAGTCGCACATCCGTATGTATCCATTTTGGGAGTCGAACCTAGTCCTCGGCGTGGCGAGCCAGCGCTTTAGCCACCAGGGTACCCAGGGACCAGGTGTATGGGAGCGGACTGCAATGTGAGGGTGTCAGGGGATTTGGTTGAAGGGAGGGGGTGCTGGGGTGTGGGGTACAACACCATCAGGT